CAAAGGGTTCTTTCTGGGCTATTAATCACAGTTTAGCCTCTGAAGATATCGCCAGTGAAAACATTTGGACATCTTTGTGCTAGACTTGCTGAAACTTTGAAATCTTGAGTGTCTTGCATATGCACAAATTGCAGCACTTCCTTTCATTAACAACTTTTTATTTTGCTACGGAATCAAATGACACTGTAGGTAAAAAGGCAAACAAATCTCTTCACGCACTTGGTCTAGGGGAAGAGGAATCAGGGAAGTGGTGAAGGGTGGGTGGGGTAGTGAGCAGGCCATTCAGACTCTTCAAAGGTGAAATGTGGGAGGGATCTGAGTGGCCAAGAGTTGCCTCATCATTTTTTCTAACCTTTCATAGTTTTGTTTTTGTTTTTTTGACTAACCAGTGCTTACGTAGAGAATTGGTAAGATTTCCTGGTCTTTTCTTTATGCTTTGAGACCTTTGTGAACAGTTCACAGAAAATAATAATAAAATAGTGCCTAATGCGAAATGAATACTTGCCTTCCTCTAGTCCTGTGTTGACGACGTGTTTTGTGAGTTGTCTTGTTAAATCCCCTTAATAACTCTGAGAAGTATTATGCGAGAAAAACAGGTAGTACTGTTTTCTTATTATGGACAAGGAAACTGAGGCTTTGAAAAGTTTGAGGTCACGCCCCTGACAAATGCAAGGCCCTGTACAACTTCACCGGCCCCAGGATTCAGGGGCTGCGTTCTCCCACTCCCCACCCCACTGATTCACTGCAGGTGGCCACGTTTCTCCTTATGTGTAGAGGGATTAGTGGGGTTCAGGGCTCACTATCCCAAAATATGGCCCCTTGACCTATTGAATATTTTAAGCTGAAGGAATTTGAGAAAATGGCAGAAGCAGGAATGTCACTCTTAGCCCCCACTTCCTTCTCTCATAAAATCTAGGAAGGATTTTTCTGACCTTCCCCTAAAGCAGGCTGTAAGACTGTCACATAGGAACTGGTGGTCTTCTACCCACATGAAAGAAATATCTTTATCTCTGAAGACACAGGGACACAGAGAAGAATCTAAACAAATAGGCCTTGCTCTTTCCCCAGTTTCTTACCATTAGATGACACTTCTTTTATTTCTTTACTACTCTCCTTTTTATTTCCTTAAAAAGGCTCTAGAGTCACCTAAAACTTATATTAAGTAAATTTTTATACTTTTCCCTTGTTAATCTGTCCTTTGTTATAAGGGCCTCAACCATGAGCCTAGGATGGGTAGATAAAAAGATATTTTTCCTCCCCTGAAGGATCCTTACTGCCTGGTCTACTAATCAGTGTCTGTGTCCTAAACCCTCACAATGATGTACTCTATTATCTGACTCCTTTCTCAGGAAAACTTCCTTCAGTGTCTTTTTTCTTCCATATTCATGACTTTTAGTGATAAGCAGTGCTAATCACTGTCCCAGTTGGAGTCTTTTTCTTGTTACAGTAAAACAATATATATATGACATGAAATCTTTCTTTTTAAGTATACGATACTGCATCAACTATGTGCACATTTTTGTACAGCAGATCTCTAGAAGTTTTTCATATTATGTGACTAAAACCCAGTACCAACTGAATAGCAGCTCCCACTTCCTCCTGCCCCCAGCCACTGACGGCTACCATTCTACTCTCTGCTTTTGTGAGTTTGACTACTTTCAGATACCTCACGTAAGTGGAATCATGCAGTACTATGTTCCTGTGACTGGCTTATTTCCCTTAGCATAATGTCCCCCAGCTTCATCCATGTTATAGCGCATGGCAGGATTTCCTTGTTTTTTTTAAGGCTTGGTATTCAATTATATATATATACCATATGTTCTTTTTCTATTCACCTGTCGGTAGGCATTCGGTTTGTTTACATTTCTTGGCCCTTTGAATAAGTGCAAATATCTCTTAGAGATCTTGTTTTCAATTCTCTTAGATACATACTCAGAAGTGGGATTGCTGTATCATATGTTAGATCTATTTTTAATTTTTTTGAGGAAGCTTTATGCTACATTTTCCATAGCAGTTGTACCATTTTGTATTCCCACCAGCAGTACAGAGGGTTCTAATTTCTATCTATCTTCAACACTTGTTTCTGTTTCTTTGATGATGACCATCTTAGTAGGTATGAGGTACTATTTCATCTCATTATGGTTTTGATTTTCATTTCCCTGATGTTCAGTGATACCAAGTATCTCTTCATATACCTCGTAGCCATTTGTATGCCTTCTTTGGAGATACGTGTATTGAAGTCCACATTTAAATTGTTTCTTTTTGTTGTTGTTGTTGTTGTTGTTGTTGTTACTTTGGCTTTTTACTATTTAGTTTTAGGAGTTCCTTATATATTTTGCATGTGAATCCTTTATTAGCTGTATGGTTTGAAAATACTTTCTCCCATTCCATAGGTTATCTCTGCACTCCCTTGATTGTTTCCTTGGTTGAGTAGAAGTTTTAGTTTTATGTAGTCTCGTTGTCTATATTTGCTTTTATGGCTTAGGTTTTGGTTTCATATCTAAAAAATTGTTTTTTTAGATATGAAGTCATGAAGTTTTTCTCCTATGTTTTCCTCTAGGAGTTTTATAGTTTCCGTTTTTGCATTTTAATCTTTAATCCATTTTGATTTGATTTTTGTGTATTCTAACAGTTCAATTTTATTCTTTTGCAGTTGATATCCACTTTTCCTGACACTGTTTGTTGAAGAGATTATCTTACCCCATTGTACAGTCTTGGTGCCCTTTTCAAATATTATTTTTTCACACATTTGTGTGTGTTTATTTCTGGGCCACTCTATTTTATTTAATTGGTCTATTTGTCTTTATTTCAGCACCATATGTTTTGATTACTTTCTGTAGCTTTGTAATATGTTTTGAATTCAGGAAATGTGAGTTCTCTAACTTTGCTCTTTTTCTTACGGTTGTTTTGGCTCTTCTGGGTCCTTTGCGGTTGTATATGGATTTTAGGATACTTTTTGTATCTGCAAAAGATGCCATTGATTCTTAATAAGGATTACATTGAATCTGTAGAATGCTTTGGGTAGTATGGACATTTTAACAATATTAAGTCTTCCAATCAATGAAGAGTTATGTCCACTCATTTATTTGTGCCTTAATTTCTCTGAGCAATGTCTTATAGTTTTTGGTGAAGTCTTTTGTCTCTTTGATTAAATTTATTTCTGTTGTATTTTGATGCTATTGTAAATGGAACTGTTTCCTTAATTTCTTTTTTGACTAGTTCATTTTTAGTGGTTAAAAATTCAACTGAATTAGCCAGGTGTGGCAGAGGGCGCCTGTAATCCCAGCTACTCAGGAGGCTGATCATGAGTTGCTTGAACTTGGGAGGTGGAAGTTGCAGTGAGCTGAGATCATACCACTGCACTCCAGCCAGGGTGACAGAGTGAGACTCTGTCTCAAAAAAAAAAAAAAAAAAAGCAACTGAGTTTTGGGTGTTGATTTTATATCAAACAATGTTGCTAAAGTTAGTTCTAACATTTATCAATTCTAATAATTTTTTTAATGTGGATTTTTTTTTTTCTGAGATGAAGTCTTGCTCTTGTCACCCAGGCTGGAGTGCAATGACACAGTCTCAGCTCACAGCAACCTCCACCTCCTGGGTTCAAGTGATTCTCCTGCCTTGGCCTCCTGAGTAGCTGGGATAACAGGTGCCCACCACCACACCCAGCTAATTTTTGTATTTTTAGTAGAGCTGGGGTTTAGCCATGTTGGCCAGGCTGGTCTCGAACCCCTGACCTCATGATCCACCTGTCTCGGCTTCCCAAAGTGCTGGGATTACAGACATGAACACTGCACCTGACCTTAATGTGGAATCTTTAGGGTTTTCTACATATAAGATCGTGGACAGAGATAATTTGACTTCTTCCTTTCTGAGGTTGATGTCTTTTATTTCTTTTTCTTACCTAATTGCCCCAGCTAAGACTTCTGTTACTATAATATATTGAGTAGAAGTGGTGAGTGTGTGAATCCTTGTCTTTTGATCGTGAGGAAAAAGTTTCAATTTTTCACTGGTATGACGATTGTGTTACTGGAAAGAGGTCGCAATCCAGATTCCAAGACAGGTTTCCTGGATGTTGCCTAAGAAAGAATTCTGGGTGAGTCCATAGAATAAAGTGAAAGCAAGTTTATTAGGGAAGTAAAGAAATAAAAGCATGGGTGCTCCATAGGCAATGAAGCCCCGAAGCCTGCTGGTAACCCATTTTTACGGTTGTTTCTTGATTATATGCTTAACAAGCAGTGGATTTTTCATGAGTTTTCTGGGAAAAGCATTGGCAATTCCCAGAACTGAGGAGTCCTCCTTGGAGGCCACATAGGGTAACTTCCTGATGTTGCCATGCATTTGTAAACTGTCAAGGAGATGGTGGGAGTGTCTTTTCACATGCTAATGCATTATAATTAGCATATAATGTGCAATGAGGATGACCAGAGGTCCCTTTCATCACCACCTTGGTTTTGGTGAGATTTGGCTAGCTTTTTCTTTTTTTTTTTTTAACACAACCTGTTTTATCAGCCAGGTCTTTATGACCTGTATTTTCTGCTAACCTCCTGTCTCATCCTGTGGCTAAGAATGCCTAACCTTCCGGGAATGCAGCCCAGTAAGTTTCAGCCTTATTTTCACTCAGCTCCTATTCAGGATGGAGTTGCCCTGGTTCAAATGCCTCTGACATTTAGCTCTGAGATATTCATAAATGGCCATTACTATGTTGAGGTAATTTCCTTTTATTTCTAGTTTGTTCAGTGAACATAAATACTTTCATGTTCTTTCTTTTTGCTTATAAAACTAATATAAATTCATTTATACATTACAAATTATTTTAAACTTACAATTATTATAGTTTATAATTTATATCATCAAAGTTTCAAAAGCTTCCAAATTTTTAAAATTCAGAGCAAATTATTTTGAAAATTCAAAAACATATAAGGACACAAAGGGAACAATTACTCATGATCCTATTTCTTAACTTTTTCTTTAATTTATGTGCTTTGTGGTCTCTTTCTCAGGTAACTTGGCCCAGACAAGAGCTAGGACAACAGTGGCCTCAAGATCTTTGCCTCCACATTTCAGCGCTGGGAAAGCCAAGGTGAGTAACAGATTTGCACCAAACACGATATGGACTGGCAGGTACTATTGACCCAGGGATAATCCGAAAGTGGGCAGCATTAGTTCCTTCATGCAGCCCACTGCCTGAGCAGTTTAGTAGAGAGATCAAAGGCATTTAGGAAATCAGGGGTTAGGAAATTGGAAACATCATGGAATCCTCACAATCCTGATTCTCAGAAAGAGCACTTAAGAACAATGCTACCTAAAAATAAAGTCTGTCTAAAAAAAGATAAAGCCTTTCTCTGAAACTACCAGCAAGCTGGTGGACCAAATGGAATCGGGGAGGAAAGAAACTATGAGTGTTTCCTGTTGCTCTGCTTTGCTCTCTGAAAAATGACTTGTACACTCGTGTGCAAAGGGGTTATTAGAAGGGTGAAAAAATATCCAGCTGTAAAAATGTCTTTAACTGTTCTATCCTTTCAGCTAAAGTTTAGCGAGAGTCTTAAGGACTGCTTGGTTAATATTCATTGTAAGTGCTAACACAGAAACACAATGACCTTGAAGGTATTGATGTAAAAACTGGTCATATTGGCTGGGTGCAATGGCTCACACCTATAATCTCAGCACTTTGGGAGGCTGAGGTGGGCAGATCACAAAGTCAAGAGATTGAGACCATCCTGGTCGATTTGGTGAAATACCATCTCTACGAAAAATACAAAAAAATCAGCTGGGCGTGGTGATGTGTCCCTGTATTCCCAGCTACTTGGAAGGCTGAGGCAGGAGGATCGCTTGAACCTGGGAGGCAGAGGTTGCAGTGAGCTGAGATCGCACCACTGTACTCCAGCCTGGTGACAGAGCAAGACTCCATCTCTAAAAAAAAACACAATGAAAAACTGGTCCACATCTCTGTATTTTCTTATCTTTTGGTTTATACTGAAAATTTATTTGATAAAGAATAAACAATTTGGCCACACATTAATGCTGCTGAATACTATTCCAAAATTGGTACAGATATACATATTTATACGTACTTTGGTTGAGAATAAAAGACTTATTTGCTTAGAGTAGGAACTTAAATCAGTTTTTGTAAACAATAATTTTCTATTTTTAGAGACAGTCTCACTCTGTTACCCAGGCTGGAGTACAGTGGCATGATCTTGGCTCACTGCAACCTCTACCTCCCATATTCAAGCAATTCTCCTGCCTCAGCCTCCTGAGTAGCTGGGACTACAGGCACATGCCATTATGCCTGGCTAGTTTTTTGTATTTTAGTAGAGATGGGGTTGTACCATGTTACCCAGGCTGGTTTCAAACTCCTGAGCTCAGGCAATCTGTCTGCCTCAGCCTCCCAAAATGCTGGGATTACAGACATGAGCCACTGCGCCCAGCCATTAACAATAATTTTTACACCAATATTGCTATTATAATTCATTGTAATACCCTACATTTCACCCTTGCTACTTGAAGGCAAGATATTAGAACTATCTGGGGCTCTAAAAGAGATTTACACAGGAGTTTCAGTGGTTCTGAGGCCCTATTGGTATCACATGTAAAATTTTATCTGTATTTCATACAGTTGGTTCTCATTATTGGTGAAAGTTGTGCTCTATAAAGTTGCTGCAAACTCTGAATCAGCAAATACTGAACCATCGCTTCTAGGGAAACATAGGGCCAATACTCAGGTCACAGTATTTTTGTGAAATGATCAATGCATAACCTCATTTTACATGTGTTTCTGTTTAAAGACACCTTATTTAATATATGTTTCTTCTAAATAATTATAGTCAGTATTTTATAATATAAAACAGTGTATCAATTGCAGCATTTCTGTCATTGAACTCACAACTAACAGCACTGTAACACATGCTTGAGCAATAATAAGTATTTTCTCCATGAGGCATCTCACAACCTTCTTATGCTTAGAAACACTAGACAGCACTACCCTTGCGGAGATACATTGGGTTTTTTAAAGACAGTCTCACTCTATTGCCCAGGTTGGAGTGTAGTGGCATGATCAGAGCTCATTATAACCTGGAATTTCTGGCTTCAAGGATCCTTCCACCTCAGCTTCCAAAATAGTTAGGATACCACACCTGGCTACTTTAAAAAAAAATTTCTGTAGAGATGAGGTCTTGCTGTGTTTGTCATGCTGGTCTCTAACTCCTGGCCTAAAGTGATGCTTCTGCCTTGGCCTCCCAAAGTGCTGGAATTGCAGGTGTGAGCCATCACACCCAGCCTGAGTTGATAGGGGCAGCATTTTAAACAGCAAAGTTATCAAGAAAAACCACAGAACTGCAAAAAAAAAAAAAAAAAATATATATATATATATATATGGACACTTGTTTATAGTATGAGAGCTGAAACAAGAAGGCAAAGCATCATCCTCTTTGACCTCAGTGGAAAATGTGTGCATAAAGGGACTGAGCTTTTCTGTGAATGACCGTGAAAGCATTGCAGGTATTGACTTTGGGTTACACATAAATTTTAGCAAGCAGACAAATCCTCAGATAATGAGGGTGTACTGCCTGTGTGGTTTTTTTGGAGTCGCTTCTACCAGTTCTAAAAGGGATTATGACACAGAGACATGAAAGAACTCCATGTAATATTTCCTGTCAACTTCCTCTCCTTTCCTCTGTTTGATTTTTGACTACTGGACTAAGGTATATCTCCTGCATTCCATACCCATAGTACCCACAGTACCAGCATACTGTTGCCTCCCTCCCTGTACTGTCTACCATGGCTCAGACCCTGCCCACATGAAAAGGGTGCCTTCTAGTGTGTGACATATATTTATATCATTAAAATAATAATAATGTGTATGGGTCTGATGAAAATAACTAAAGATTTGTTTTTACTAAGAAAATGAGTTGAAAGTTCTAATAATTAAGGTATCAAAAATACGAAGTACAATAATAGCAACAACAAATGAAACAAAACTAACTCCAGTTACTGTCCAACTTATCCAAGGTAAAATTAAACAGAAGTGACCCTGGATAAAGCTGGGCTCTATACTCAGGGAAAAGTAATGTTGTTTCCTCACCCATCAAAAGGTTTATGGCTGACATTTCTATAACCAAAAAAAAAAAAAAAAAAAACAAATTAACAAGAGAAAAGCATACAAAGTTATTTAATGTAAGTTCTGACATGAGAGCCATCAGAAATGAAGACCCAAAGAAAAAAGGAAATCCATGTATTTTTATGATCAGATGTGCAGAATTATAACTGAAAAACAAAAGGGTATGATTTAATGGTCATAAATTGGGGCTTATTTAGCAATGACTATTTGCTCAGATTCTTCTTGGTGTCCCCATCTGACATTCCTTACCTCTGGGTATAGATCAGGACATATGTCACATGAGGATCTTCAGGGGAGAAGGGAGGGAGAATGGCAGAGAGTGACCTTCCGAGGCATTATGGCCTGCTTCAGAGAAGAGCTGTGGGAAGGTGAGAGCAGCCGTCCTGCTTCTGCTATTTAAATGCCAAAGTCCCATGTTTCGGGATAGTATGTACTTAATTCTGTCAGTTCCAACACATGGAACAGCACTCACAGAGCCAGTTTTCAATGTGTCTTGCTTTCTATTCAGTACTCTAAAGACGTTTGAGATCAGTGGTACTATAGGAGTTTTTTTCTTCTTCTTAAGGGATAGATATATCACTTGATAGCAAGAAAAATTCTTCTAAAATGGTTTTGTCAAGAAGATAATAAATAGGAGCACTTCTGAGGTTTCAGGATGCAAATAGTGAGCACTTACTGAGAACAGGAGGAAATTCTTCAGTTTTCATTTATTGCCAAAATCTAGATGGTTTATGGGATTTTTTGGAATTTACGTCTTTATCCAAGAGTAAATATAGTTGAAAAATGACGCAAATCTTTTTAATAATACCATGCTTTCAGACTTTCCTTTTACAAGTTATATCAAACCACGTCAGGTGGTGTAAACACCCAGTGAGTTTGCCTTGCCCACTGCCTAGATGGAGCCAATTGATCAAGACAGAGGAATTGTAATAGAGAAAGAGTAATTCACACAGAGCTGGCTGTGCAGGAGACCAGTTTTATTATTACTCAAATCAGTCTCCTCAAGCATTCAAGGGTTAGAGTTTTGAAGGATACTTTGGTTGTGGGGGGCAAGCAAATCAGGAGTTCTGATTGGTGAGGTCAGAGATGAAATAATAGGGAGTTGAAGCTGTCCTCTTGCACTGAGTCAGTTCCTGGGTTGGGGCCACAAGACCAGATGAGTCAGATTATTGATCTGGGTGGTGCCAGCTGAACCATCAAGTCCAGGGTCTGCAAAATATCTCAAGCACTGATCTTAGGTCTTACACTAGTGATGTTACCCCCAGGAGCAATTTGGGGAGGTTTAGAATCTTGCAGCCTCCAGCTGCTTGACTAAGATTTCTAATCTTGTAGCTAATTTTTAGTCTTGCAACAGCAGTCTAGTCCCCAGGCAGGAAGAAGGTTTGTTTTGGGGAAGGGCTATTATTGTCTTTGTTTCAAAGCTAAATGATAAACCAAGTTCCTCCTAAAGTTAGTTCAGCCTACACCCAGGAATGAACAAGGAGAGCTTGGAGACTAGAAGGAAGATGGAGTCAGTTACGTTAGATCTCTTTCACTGTAATAGTTGTCTCAGTTATAATTTTTGCAAAGGTCATTTTGGCCCCTTCCTTTGGGTTTTGTAACACCTTATTCTTAAGGTGTGGGCTATGAAGATAGACAAGATTGAAGACCACTCTAACATCTTCCTGCTGAACAGGGGGTTAGTGAGAGTAGGTGTCGACCCCAAGGTAAGAGGAGTGAAACTGCTTTGCAGCTGTCTGCATGTACTCACAGGTGCTTGGTTGGGGTTTCAAGGCTTACATGACAAGGGTGTTAGTATTCTCATCTGTAGTTTTAATGCAGCATTTATAGAACAGGTAAATAATGTGTTCTAGGATAAGGAGTGCAATTCCATGTTTTAAAAGTAAATATTTGAAAGCATTAGTTTGGGGACTTGTGGCCCACAAATAATTTAGGATTTGGCCCAAACTGCAGAAAATAATAAA